TTGTATTCACATCTTGGAGCACCGGGTTGAAGTCTGGTCCCTCTTTCCCTGTGAAGATATAAACAATACCCTCCCCTTTATTTCCCGCCCCCTCCCTCCTTTTCAGTTGGCTACCATATATATCCATATATACAATTTTTCAATGTCTGTAGCATTAGCTTTCATGATTGGTGCATAGTTTCATATAATAGATATATTACATTGACTGGATTTCCTTGTATGTGGATAGATATCCTATCACAGACAGTATTGTACTTCAAGATAGCTCTTAAAAAGTATGTTCAGAAGGCTTGGAAGAACTAAGAGCAGTTACTATTCGACTAAGAGCAGTTATTGTTCAACAGAGAATGGCTGACCGCAATATCCTTTCTGTACTCTGCTTGCTTGCATACCTGCACATTGCAAAAGTATAAAAACCTTTGGAAAATTAGACAGGCCACCGCTCCATCTCCTCTCAAAAAGGGCTGACGGTCCCTGCACGGGTAATAAAACTTTTTCTTTTGAACTTGTCAGCAGCAGTCTGGGTTGTTTTCTTTCTGGGAACGGACAGTAGGCTACAACATTTGGAGGTTCCACTGAGATCCTACTGCCACTGTCGGAGCCTGGTTAGAAAGGAGACCTCCTTTATAGGAGTGCTCTCCCCAAAACTAGGGGATTTCCGAAGAGACTTGCCTTCGCCCCAGTTCATTTGACTTGAGCAACCACCTTTGGTAAGTGACTTGAATGGTGCACCTTTGGGGGCAAATTGTCAGCTGGATGCGGCATATGACAGTCGCCTGGTGTCCCAGGGAACTCTTGTATCTTGTATCCTGAAAGGGGCAGAGCCCCTCTTGGTTCCCCGTGGCTATTCACAGGTCTTGGTAGTCTTGTTGTTTGCTAGCTGTTTTTGCTTTTGTGTCTGTGTTGTTGCTTTAAATGTTCATTTTACCCTTTTTAAAGGTTCCTCAGAGGCAGATGGGAATCCAGAGAGTTCCAAAACGGGACAGAAGCCTTCGACACCACTTGAATGTCTTTTGGCTAACTTCTCTGATTTCTCTAGGTGCTCACAAAGAGCGTATGATTTTAACCCTAAAGACTGAAGACTCCGCAATTTGTGTAACGGTGATTGGGCTGAAGGAGTCCCTGATTGGCCCCTGCAAGGCTCGTTTTCCCTTCCCCTATTATGTTTATGGGGAACTGGGACATTCCGATCAGATTCCTTATATTGATGTGTGGATTGACATTGCCACTGATAAGCCAGCATATACAAAAGATTTTCTTCCTCCCCCAACAGAAAGGGTTCTTGTTTCCAAGACTTCAGGAAATGCGGCGGGGACCGGAGGAAAAAAATAGCCCCCCCCCCCCCCCCCCCCCCCCCCCGCCACTCAGCTTTATCCCATTTTGCAGGAGGACTGGGGTGGGAGAGGAACCGGCTTTGACCCTTTGGTGCCGCCACCACCTATCAGGTTTCCAGGGACTGAAGAGAGGGAAATACTAACAACCCCTATTTGAGTGCCCCCTCACACTAGGACACTAGGGCTGGAACATCTTACCAACACCCTCCCCCTAGGGCCCCCCCCCAGAAGGATCACTGGGCGGCAGCCATTCTCCCTTTAAGACAAGCAGCCCCCAAACCTAGGGAAGAACCCCAGAGTCCCTTTCTTGGTATAGGTCCCCTTTTCCTCCAGTGATTTGTATAATTGGAAGTAACAAAATCCCTTCTTTTCTGACAAACCACAAGGTCTGATTTCTTTGCTAGAAACTGTTTTCCACACTCATCAGCCTACCTGGGAAGATTGCCAGAAACTTCTCCAGGTGCTATTCACATCAGAGGAACGGGAGCGCATCCAGAGAGGGGCCCAGAAGGAAGTCATTGGACCTGATGGGCAGCTAGCGAGCACTCCCACTTGAGCGAAACTCTTTTTCTCACTGTGCAACCAATGTGGGATCCAAACTTCTCGCAAGGCCAGGAAGTCTTCACCAGGTATCGCCAGTTTCTTTTGCAGGGCCTTCGCGGAGCGGCCAGGAAACCTATGAATTTATCTAAGGTCAGTGAGACTTTACAGGATGACTTACAGGAGAATCTCCGGATGCCTTTTTAGAGTGGCTGATGGAAGCCTACAGGCTTTATACCCCTATAGACACGGAGGCCCCCGAGAACTGGAGGGCAATAAATATTGCCTTTGTTACTTAGTCGGCCCCAGACATGAGAAAGAAATTGTAGAAGTTGGAAGGGTTTGAAGGGAAAAATCTTAGTGTATTGGTAGAAGTGGTTCAGCAGGTGTATAACAACAGAGATGACCCCACCACGACAGACAAAAAAACTTGCTAAAATTTTAGTAACTGCCATGGGAGACCCCAGAGGCTCAGGAAAGGGAAAAATCAGTGCCCCGAAAATCCCAGGAAAGGCGGACGGCCTACCACTAGAGAGGATGGGCCTCATCTTCACCTAGAAAACCCCAAGTGAGAGACAATAATGTTTGAAGAAGCTGAATGAAGGGGTCAGGGCTGTTTCACTTGTCCCCCAGGAGCCCAGGCTAACTCTCCAAGTAGGGGGCCAGCCAGTAAATTTCTTGGTGGACACAGGGGCCACCTTCTCAGTTTTGAAAAAGACTACAGGTGTATTGTCAAAAGAAAAGATTTTAATTACAGGGGCCACAGGGAAGATCCAAGCATATACCCATGGACAATGGCTAGAATAACAGATTTAGCACAAGGGACAGTTACACACTCCTTCCTGGTAATACCTGAGTGCCCCTATCTCCTAATTGGTTGGGACTTATTACGAAAATTGGGGGCCACAATTATTTTCTTGCCTGCTGAGACCACCTTAACCTTTGAACCCCCCAAAAACCAGGTTTTGCTCACCATTCTGTTGTCAGAGGAATATGTGTTTTATCAAGGAGCAAAAAAGACCTTCTCAGAAATTTCTTGATAAATGGCTAAAAAATATTCCTTTTGTTTGGGCAGACAACAACCTGTCAGGCCTTGCCAAACATCAGGTGCCTGTGGTAGTACAACTTCTGAGTTCAGCTACACCGGTGAGAGTCAAGCAATACCCTATTCCAAGGAAAGCAAAGGTGGGTATTGCTGTTTACATACGCAGACTAAAAAGGATAGGCATTTTAGTGCCCTGCAAGTCTGCATGGAATACTCCCTTGCTGCCCATGCAGAAGCCGGGCACTGAGCACTTCCGACTGGTGCAGGATCTCAGAGAAGTAAATGTGAAGGTATAAACTGTTCACCCCCCCAGTATCAAACCCTTATACTCTCCTGAGTACTATTCTGCCAAACCGAGTTTGTTATATATACTGCTTTGGACTTAAAGGATGCTTTCTTCTCCATACCCTTGTCCCCTGTAAGTCAACCTAGTAAAGACTTACAGGAATACAAGGAGGAATACCCCTAAACAACCTTGCTCCAGTATGTAGATAAATGACCTCCCCCTAGCCTCTGAAACCCTGGAGGAATGCAAAAGGGCTACCGACAGTCCTCGGTAAATTGGGGTACAGGGAATCTGCAAGAAAGGCTCAACTGTGTGTCAATAAAGCTGTATACCTAGGCTACCAACTGGAGGAGGGAAAAAGAACCTTGTCCCACAGCCGCATTGAGGCAATCCTCAAAATCCCAGTACCTGAGACTAAAAGGCAGGTGCGAGAGTTTCTAGGAGCTGTGGGGTACTGTCGATTGTGGATTTGATGAAATAGCCAAACCCCTATATGCAAGTACTGGGGAAAAAGCAAAAGAACTTAAATGGACTAAGGTAAAACAGCAAGCTTTTAAATCCTTAAAAAAGGCACACATATTGGCACCCGCTCTTGCCCTTCCAAACATAGAAAAGCCTTTCTAATTGTTCATACATGAGGCTGGAGGCATAGCAAAAGGAGTGCTAAGTCAGAACTTGGAGCCATGGAAGCAAGCTGTGGCCTATCTTTCAAAGAAATTGGACTCTGTAGCTGCAGGATGGCCGAGCTGCATGCGAGCTGTGCCGCCACCGCCATCCTAGTTAAAGAAGCTAAGAAGCTTCTTTCAGTGTACTGGGACAGGATATTGCTGTGGTAGGGGGACATATGGTTGAAACCCTCTTAAGAAGTCCCCTGGACCGTTGGATCTCAAACACCAGGATTATACAACCAATCCCCCTGAGATAGTGGTCGTGACCATGCCATCCCCAGTGTTACCGCCACAACCTGCATACTAGGAGAATGATCTAAAGGTAAGCCAAAAGCTGGGCTTCCAGAAAGACTTGGAGCAACCAGAGTGGCTGCTCCACCCCAATGGAAGAAGATTCATGCCAGAAGCTCTGGGAGAGATCTGATTCAAGGACTACATGAAGGTATGCACTTGGGATCCTCGAAATTGTCTGTTGCTCAGCAGGTACTTTTACATACCCAGGCTTGGACACTGGGTGGCAGATGTCACCCACCGCTGCTTGCACTGTGCTCAGGTAAACAACCTTAGAAAAGAAAAGCAGCAACCCCAACCATGAGCTCGAGGTAGTAGTCCTGGAGAATTCTGGGAGTTGGACTTTACGGAAATCAAACCTGGAAGGTATGGCTACCGGTATTTGCTGGTGTTCGTGGACACCTATTCTGGATGGGTGGGAGCCTTCCCAACAACAAAGAGGGAAACCAGTGCCACTGAGTGTAAATTATTAGTTACTAAAATTGCCCCTAGATTTGGCCTTCCCACCACCTTGGGGTCCAACAATGGCCCAACATTCATTGCTCAAATTACTAAAGTATTAGCAACACTTCTAAATATGAACTGGAAGCTCCACTGTACTTATAGGCCCCAAAGTTCAGGGCAAGTAGAGAGAATATAGAACCCTAAAGGAATTTTTGGTTAAATTGCATTTAGAAACTGGCGAAAACTGGGTTATCCTTTCTGTACCTTTTGCCCTACTTCGAGTCAGATGCACTTGCTATGTAAAAAGCATTACCCCATTTGAATTTATGTTTGGTAGACCTCCCCCAATCCTTCCAAGAGTGAAGGAGGTAGAAATAATGGAAGTCACTAATTGTTCCCTCATTAAGTCACCTGCAGGTGAGAGAGACAAACCATCTGCTCCGACACCTTCATTTTGGGCCCAACCAAGAGAAAGGTGAAGAGCCAGCCCACAACTTGCAACCTGGAGACTGGACGCAACCTGGAAACTGGACGTGGGTAAAGAACCACCAACCCGCCACCTTAGAACCAAGGTGGACTGGCCCATACCAGGTGATACCACACCAACTGCTGTTAAAGTAGCAGAGAAGGGGCCGTGGATTCATCAGTCAAAAGTAAAGAAAGCCCTCCCCGAGCATATCCCAAAAAGATGGACACTCAGAGAGACGGAAAAACCCTTAAAATTAAGACTTTGCAGAACTTAATTGTTTTTGTCCGACTATTGCTGACAGTATCCGCCATTTCCCCATCAACTGCAAACACATCTGTGGACTGTTATTCGAACCTCCAGCGGGAAAAATGTAACCTCTTACACTGGATATGACCCCCCTGAGTTCCACTTTGATTTGTGTGATTTGTTTGAACCTGAGTTGCATGTAAAGATCATTGGCGGGCATAGATAAATAGTAAGTCCTACACCCCAAGGGGATGCTCAAATCTAAATTTTGAAAAACAGCTTAGAAATTACCATTTCTATATATGCCCGGCTGATGGACCCCCTAACTGCCAAGGGAGGGACATTACCATTGTGCAGTTGGGGTTGTGAAACTATATCATCTAAAGGGTGGAAACTTGTTAGAGAAGATCCTGATATTATTTTTTTAAGAATGGAACTAAAGTCTAAGGGGTTTAATCCTACCACTTGTACAGTTTCCAAATGTAACCCAATAAGAATTGGATTCAAGTGTTATTAAGAGAAAAAGTGGTTCACTGGGAAAACGTCGGAGAATTTGACTTTATATTATATAAACGGTAAAGATCCCAGTACAGCCTTTACTATCCCAAAAAAGTAAAATATGGCAACCTCCTATCCCTATAGGCTCAAACATAGTGATAAATCCCGAAGAGCCACAGTGGCGTGTCACTAAGATTCCTTTGCCACACCCTCCAGACTCTTCAGTGACTTTCCTGTTTACCGCCAACCCAACTCAAAAGGCCCTTCCCATTCAGGAGCCACCTCAAGGTTCTGTGTTTAAAACTCTGGATGCTGTATTCCAATTTATGAACTCAACAAATCCTAACCTCACAGCTGATTGTTAGCTTTGTCTGAACCCTGCTCCCCCTAACTATGTAGGCATAGGTACAAATAGCACTATTAGTACAGATTGTAATCAAATTAAAAATGTTAGTATAAAGGATTACATTAAGCAGCAGTCAGTCTGTAGGTGGGGTCAGAATGGGCTCAA